AAAAAAAATTGCGACATAACATTTCTTAAAAGCATTCTGATGTTTAATAATCTAAAAAGCTGGATTAAAAATCGACGACGTTTCGACGTTACCGTAACGTCATTATCGTTATCATTATGCGGCCAGTTTTTATAAGCAAGAAATCAGAGCAAGATCTTAAACCTAAAGAAGCCAAGCCGTCAATTTGTCAATCAGCAATGCGTTGTTTATCTCGCCGACACCTTTTTCAGCGTGTTGCTGAACACAAAAATTCGGCAGTCGGCAAACATTTTCGTGAAGCGCACGGTAGGAGTGATCTTTTGAATTAGCCATTTCAAGATTCTGAGAAAGTGCCCAGGCAAATTGGATTGTTAGTGTTTGAAATTCTTTACATCAAGAAATTGAAACGTAATTTGAACGTCTAAACGGACTCCATAAGTGCAAACCTTTTTGTTTTAATTTGACTCATAACTTTTGTAATTATTTTCATCGCGTATTGTTCGTCTTAGTATTTATAGAACCTAGTTTTTTATACATTTTTGACTTGATAATGACGTTACGGTAACGTTGAAACGTCGTCGATTTTTAATCGAGCTTTTTAGTTTTTAGAATGCTTAAAAGAAATGCTATGTCGCATTTTTTTTATAGTCAAATTAAGTAATTAATTTACCTTTACTATGATTTTTTTTTAGATATTACTAGTTTTGGCGGTTGGGCGGTTACTTTACCTTCGTAAGCTTTTAATATCCCTGGGGCACTCAACTAGAGCTAGCTAAAGCTGTTTTTGCTGCCAAAATGTTTCGTGATTTATCGCCAAGTGTTCTTAACTTTTATAACAAGTTAAAGTCTAAAACTTTCTTTTACTTATGAAATTGTATATTAAAACCTGCTAACGACTTAAGAGTCACTTAACAACGATTTCAAATTGACTTGTTTTGCTTTCGAAGTGCGTCAGAAATTTGAAGCCGTTCCGCTTGAATAAAAATCGTTCCCGAACCCGTCAGACACATAGTAGAGATATAATAAATATTTTACTAACCTCGTTTTCTCGGTTACGGGATCCTCGTTTTTCCCCTTCGATTTATGAACCACGCGCTTCGCGCTTGGGCCATCATAAATCAATGGGGAAAAAAACTCGGTCCGTAACCTTACAGTACAGCCCTTGAACTCGGTTAGTAAGAGGTATGTATTATTAATACTGTTTAAATTTTAGCGGACTTTACAGTAGAATACGGCTTGCTAAATTGGCCAATCACAGCG